ATTCATTTTAGATGCTTCTGGAAATATTAATCATATTTTTATTATATCTATTTATTTTTGTTTATTATATTTTATTCTTTTTTTGTTTATTATATTTTAAATGCACTAATAGGGTAATCAAAGGAAACCAATGGAGATCCCTCAATAAAATAAGAAATTTGAGATGTGAAAATTACTTTCTGAATTTTTCTAGTTTACATTTTTAAATATAAATTAGGTTAACTTAAAATGAGCTATACTGTCTTATTATGATAATTTATCAAAACTTTAAAAGATTGGGACACCTGGGTGTCTCAGTGGTCGAGCACCTACCTTTGGCTCAGGGCATGATCCCACAGCCCAGGGATTGAGTTCCACATCAGGCTCCCTGCATGGAGCCTGCTTCTCCCTCTGTCTCTTTCTCTGCCTTTCTCTCTCTGTGTGTCTCTCATGAATAAATAAGTAAAATCTTTAAAAAAACACGAACTTTAAGAGGTTAATGTATGTACAGGTGAGGAAATACTTTATTTTGTATTATTACTTTATTTCATTTTTTTTAAAGACTAGTGAAATGGATAGCCCCAAGGAATACGGTTTTTTAAAGTTTTTTTTAAATTTTTATTTATTTATGATAGTCACACACACACACACACACACACACACACGGAGAGGGAGAGAGAGAGAGAGAGAGAGAGAGAGAGGCAGAAACACAGGCAGAGGGAGAAGCAGGCTCCATGCACCGGGAGCCCGACGTGGGACTCGATCCCGGGTCTCCAGGATCGCGCCCTGGGCCAAAGGCAGGCGCTAAACCGCTGTGCCACCCAGGGATCCCAGGGATTCATTAATGTTGCAGTGGCACCTTCTTGCTGAATCAAAAGCTAAATTTGAGTGCTCATTTAAAGTGGATTTGATGTAAAAAATATGAAATTGAACTACCAGATATTTACATACAAACATATAAAAGGTACTTTTTTTTTCTCTGGGAAGAAACATTTTATTGTGATACAGTTTACTTTTCTTGTTTACTATAGTAACAATGATTGCTCTAAAACTGACACTCTCTGAAATATGCTTATTTCAGCAGTTTTACCTTAACAATGCAGTTTGCCAATATGACTATCTGTTGACTAAGGGTTCAAAAAATTTAATGCCTTGTTTTCTAACTATCCCTCATTCAGTTTCAAACTCCTAAAGTCATAGTCGATTACTCTCAGATGTAAGCCCTAACGAGACAAGATGGCTAATTCCATGGCATGAAAACTTGATGAAAAACTAAAATGAACATTAGATACAACTAAGTTTGTTATATTTTAGTTTATTTATTCTTTAATAGTAAAAATTTATGTAATATTTAAATTTGAATACTTATATTGTTGTGCTACATTTTAAAATTTTATTAACTTTAATTATTAATTCATTTAGATAGAAATGCCACTTTTTTCATTTAGCAAAATTTATGAGTACTGGCATGCAATTTTATTCCAAAAAAGACAGTGGCTCAGAGTATAGTATTGGATGTTATATATGTAAATATTTAAACAATACAAATAGTTTTCTTAAACAGCTTTAATTTTTAAAAGATGATATGTAGATAATGTTTTTTAAAGCAGTAACTAATAAAAATCTACTTTAATATCCCATTGCAAAAGCAGGCTGTGAGTACTGACTGCACAAGTTTGTGGTGGCAGGCATGAACTCTTCTCACAAAATCTTTCAAGTGAAGCACAGAGCCCTCAGAGAGAAATGGGCTCTTACATAATGAATAATGTGAAGACTTAGACATATGAAGAATTCTGACTTTTCTCAATTTTTCCCTCTGAAATTTTGCATTGTTTCCAGAACAACTCTGTGAGATGGTTAGGTCAGCTTCTTTTCAGCATATTTTACATGTTTCTCTTCCATTTCTAATAGTCTTCCCATGTTTGTGGCCATAATCTTGGCTCAGGACTATATTACTTAGCACACTGGCTATGGGTATGTGTTCCTTTCTGGAGCCCCTGCCTCTGATCTATCCCCACTGCCAACTCTCTACGAGTAATCTTCATCCTGGGCCCTGAGTATGGCATTCCTTTTCTTCCAAGACATTTACTAACCTCATCTCTATCTGTTTTTTTGCAAAGTTCTTTATGTGATTTTAACATGCACCTGATTTTCTAAGTGGTTTAAAATATTCAAAATTCATTAGATCTATTTCGTTGTCTGTGTAAATGAGGGCAAGAAGAGAACAATTGAAAAGTAGTAGGATATTTTAAAAAACAAAACATAATGTAATACTTTAAGGAAAAGAACAAATTATTATTATTATTATTATTATTATTATTATTATTATTTTAAGGATTTTGTTTATTTATTCATGAGAAACACGGAGAGAGAGAGGCAGAGACAGAGGCAGAGGGAGAAGCAGGCTTCGTGCAAGGAGCCCAATGTGGGACTCGATCCCAGATCCCAGGATCATGCCCTGAGCTGAAGGCAGATGCTCAGCCACTGAACCACCCAGGCATCCCAAAAAGAACAAATTATTACAAGAACATTTCATAGTTGATTAAAAACTTGTCAGTATACTCCTAGTTAGGGAAATTTAGGAGTAAAATATTCAATAATGAAATGATTGTGGCTTTCTAGAATGTTGACTGACAGTTTTTGACCTGCTAATGAAACTGGCATAATATTTTAATGAATTATAACTGATAAAATGAGAATAATAAGACCCAAAGTTAAACTAAATGGAACAGATTACATGAAAGATAGAGTTAAATTTCTTATAACAGGTATCTGATGACAAAGTAATTACCAGATAATTATGTAGTAAATTATATTTTTTATTTTTTATCTCTACCAGTGGGAAAACTCTATTTGCTGATTCACTTTAATATTGTTAAATAAACTTTCAGTAAAATTAATCAGCCTGTCAAAAACAGGTTTCAGAAAAATTTAAATTAATATAATGTACTAGAAGAATGAGGATGGATTTATTAGCCATTCTAATCTACTTTTATTTTTCAACCTCCACCAAGTTACTTTGGTTACTGACATGATTTTGAAATTTGAATACATGAGGATATTGATCTGTCATTACTATAAACAAGAATTTTGCATTTCCAAGGCTCGGGAATCTCTCTCTCTCTCTCTCTCTCTCTCTCTCTCTCTCTCTCTCTCGTGCGCTCACTCTCTCTCTCATACACAAGCGCGCGCGCACACACACACACATCTTGTATATTAAACAGATTTTACAAAATTTCAAAATTGGGGAAGAGTGAACCTGACCAAGCCTAATGCTAGAATCAGTGGTTTCAATGATACCAGGATTCTTGCTTTCATTCCTTCTTATTTTCCCAACTATAGCCACTCTTCAGACATCCATCACTTGATGAATCCAGCTATTCATTTTCTTTGATTCTTTTCCCAGCCTTCAAAGTGTTGCTTGACAAATCTCTTTGCTAAGTCAATAGGCTCCACACAGGTCTTCTAGCTCCATTGGAGCTCCTGCATGTTTCTCTAGGGTCTCTTCACCTTTCCTTGTTATTTTCTCTGCAACTGACTTCATTGGGTTTTCCAAAAATGTGTTCCTTTTGTCAATGGCATATTTCACCCTCCCAATACTTCCAAAAAGAATGTATGACCAACACACAGGACCAGTTGCCAACTTTGCATCTGTACCTGCATATGACATCATATACTCTGGTCTCCTTCCCTTCTGTTAAAAGAAGAGGAGTTGATTGTCCTTCCCTAGTTTAATTGATCTATACTTACTCAGTGTGGTAAATAGAATAATGGTCACCCCCAAATGTCAACATGGCCCTTGTAAATATTTTACTTTAAATGGCAAGAGAGACTTTGCAGACATGATTAAGTATAGGATCTGAAATAAGGAGATTATCCTGAATTACCTGAGTTGGTCCAATTTACTCACAAGATCCTTGTAAAAGGGAAATGCAAGGTCAGAGTGAGAGGAGATAAGAAGATACATGACAATGGTAGCTGAGATATAAAAGAGAAAGAGAGTGAGAGAGAGAGATTGAGAGAGAGATTTGAAAATGCCACGATACTGGCTTTACACATGGAGGGTGAGGCCACAAACTAAAGAATGCAGGTAGCCTCTAGAAGCTTGAAAAGGCAAGCAAATGGATGGTCCCTGTAGTCCCTGTAGTCCACAGCCCTACTGACATCTTGATTTTTTAGCCCCATAGTTTACGTCTTCTGTGCCTGCCCCTCAAACCTCTGTAATCTAGTCTATGACTTCTGTCTTGAATAGCTTTTCCAAGCTTTATGGCAGTTCCTTCTTATCTGACAAATAAACTAAGCTTTTTTCCCACTTGATAGATTTTCAGTTTTTGACAGTAGCTGCCTATTCTCTCATGGCTTTTAATTATCATTTTGATTGGTTTGTCTGGGATTCTTCAAAGGCTTTTTTCCTCTGTCCTCTGACCACTGTTTATGTGTTGGTGGATGACTCAAGGTCTACTCTTTTCTCTCTTTCATTTTTACCTTCTCTATAAACTTTGGATGATTTGATCTACTTTCATGGCTTTCATTACCAAATATAAGTGGATGACTTCTAATCAATGAGTCTCAACTCTACTCTTGAATTCCAGATACATTTATCTACTTGACATGTCTGCCTGTCTGTTTTCCAGATACCCCAAACATTTAAACCTAGAGAGATTCTTCTCATGTCAGTGTACCATAGAAGAAACAAGGAATCACCCTTAGCTCCTCCATCCTATTCTTTTTTCTACTTTGTTCAGTTGAGTTTATTTCATTAACATCAAACAAATTAGTCTTTGTACCCCACAATGCCTCCACCATTTGAAAGTTCCCCTCATCTTTTCCCTAGAAGATTTAAAAGCTTCCTAATTGTTTCTTCTACCACAAACTTTCCTCACCTCCAAACCTGTCCTCATCCTGCCATCATCATGATGTTCCTTAAGCTAAATCTGATCATGTTTCTGCCTTGTTTAACAATTTCTTCTATGTTAATGTTGCCACAAATAAAGTATACTTTTCTTAACATTGCCTTTAAGTGCTCGCTTCAGCGGTGCAACGTACTAAAATGGGAATAATACAGAGGATTAGCATGGCCTCTGCACAAGGCTAACATTGCCACTAAGATCTATTCTAGTCTTATGGCTAATTTTCCAATCTGTGTCCTCTCCACATATACCCTGTGCTCCAAACATAGAGAGCAGCTCCTGATTCACTAGATCCCTGGATCCTTTCTTGACTACGTGTCTTTGCACACATTCTTCCAAAAATTTGCTTCCTTCATCTTTATCTGACAAAATCTGCTAATTCATTAAGCTCTTTGAGTTTTACATAGCCAGAGCTAGTCACAAAATATGTTTGTATGTCACTCCATTCCTTTCTATGTTATAGCACTTGCATTGTGTTGCAATTATTAGTTTTTGTATTCTGACTGGTCTTTGAATTCTTTAAGGGCAGGCTGTGTCTTCTTCATATTTATATACCTAGTACTAAGCACTGTGCTCGACCTGTGGAAAAAATTAAGTAAATGTAGCATGGATCAATGACATCATAAATTGGTGTGAACGAAAGGTCACATAATGTTTTTCTGGAAAATGACACTTGAAAGGTCTTTAAGTAAAACTAGAGGAAGCTGTGAAAGAATTGATTATGAAAGTGAACGTAGGGGATCCCTGGGTGGCTCAGCGGTTTAGCTCCTGCCTTCAGCCCAGGGTATGATCCTGGAGTCCTGGGATCGAGTCCCATATTGGGCTCCTTGCATGGAGCCTGCCTCTCTGCCTCTCCCTCTCTCTGTGTGTCTCTCCTGAATAAAATAAATAAAATCTTAAAAAAAAAAAAAGTGAATGTGTTATGGTTGATGTGGCAGTGGAGATGAGTTCAAAGATTTGACATTCCTTGAGTGGAATGCCCTTTACTTTCCTGTAGGTGGTGTACACAGATGAGTAGGATGCCATCTGTGTTCTCAAAAGATTACAATCTGTAAGGAAAAACAGTCATGTAAACAGTTTGGTGGAATAAAGAACTTCAAAAGCTATGCTAGATGTGTCTGTGGGATACTAGCATCATACAAAGAGACGGTGGTGAATTCCTTATGGGGTTAATTAAGGCTTCTTAGAGAAAGTAATTAAATCACACAAAAAGTGCAACGTTTTTGAAGAAAAAAAGCAAATATTACTACCAGAAATTTTAAAACTTAAAATGTGTAGTGCATGTAGCTGGAGCATTGGTTTTTGTGTTCTTCTTGTAAGCCATTTGAACATGTGTCATATTCATGTCCATTTATATATATACAAAAGCTGTATTCTGACAGAAAATTTTATTTATTATAAACTGGTATGTATTATTGATTTTAGTAAGCAACCATACTGAAAATTGCCTGGCCAGAGGAGAGATTGAAACATTTCAGTACAAACTCTGATTCTATTATGGTGGGAGAGATCAAAGCATTTATTCTGGTGAAGTGATGGAGCTTCTGTTGGGTCTGGCATCACATTACAGAAAGTTTAGACTTTGTTCTTATTCCCACATTCTTTAGGACTGGTGATCAAAGGCATTTAGATCTCTCAGACCACACAGCTTGGCACTGACAGTCACCTCAGAGAAAAGATTCTGAAGAGTCTTTGGGGACATTATCAGAATACCATCAGTCAATTATTATTGTAAATTAAACAAATATCCCTGATAAAAAATCATTAAAAGTCATACATATAACTAATTTAATAATTTTACTTTGTAGTTATTTAAAGTCTCATTAAGGGAAAATTTATTTACATGCTAACCATATATTTGAATAGTTTTTCATTGCAAGTTTGATACACAGTGAAGCTAAGATGTCTACATGCATTTGATATTGTTCTTTCCAGAAGGATACATCTGTCTAAGGGAAATAAAGTAATCATTATACAAAATGAAAATCAGATGTTTTTGAACTTTACTATATCTGGATAGGACAAGTTCCCAAAACTTATTTGTCTTTGTTAAGTGTGTTTTAACTGTTCTTAGGTTTTTGTAAATTCAAATTAATTTTATAATCAGCTGATGGAATTTATTTTAAACTAGGTAAGATTTTTATTGAAATTAAAATTAATCTATAGGTTAATTTAAGGAGAATTGAAATTTTGCACCAATTGATGAACATGGTATACATCTCTATTTGACTTCTATTTGTTTCATTAAAGGTTTAGATTTGTCTACAAAAAAGTATAAAATTTTTGTTACATTTATTCCTAGGTATCTATTTTTAATATCTCTATAGATATTACTGTAAATGGTATGTTGACCAGCTTCACTTCTACCTTAGTCACATAATCTTAACCAAAGAGTGAGAAGCAATAAGTTCAACCTTAGAAAACGCTGTCTAAGAATTTTCCCAGGATCATTATTTTTAATTGCAAGGATGACTGGAACTATGTGTTTATTGGCAAGAGAAAGTATAAATAAATTGTGTTCTATCCATACAATGGAATATGGTACATAAATTAAATTTTAATCAAAGACAGTATATACAATAATACAAGTAAGTTTTAGACAGAAAATGCTATTTTAAAAAATTCAGGGGGCTATATGCAAAACATAATTTTTATAAGCCCCAAAATAAGCAAACTGAATATATAATGTTTTATCACTATTCACATATATGGTAAAAGTGTTTTAAAAAATGAAATAATCAACTCAAGTTAATGATAACAAATACCTCAGGGTTGGTAAAATAGAGAATATGATTAAGGAGGAATAAAGAACTTCAAATGTAGAGACAATATGCTAGCCTTTAATTTGGTTGGTGGTTCATGTGTGTTCATTCTATTATTATATTTCATTAGTTATATGCATTCTTTTATATGCATCAAATATCAGAGGCTGATTTTTAAGTGAGAGGAATAGCTCAATGACTTTTAAAAATGGTTAAGATCCACAAATAAATAACAGATCACTAAGGATTACTGTAAATCCTTTTACTGCTAACTTGTAATCCTCTTATACAAGGCCTGTGAACACCAAATCCTTGAAAAGAAGCTTTCATAAGCTTCGTATATAGCCTTAGACATAACAAGAAATATATTTTCTTAATACATTAAATTGATTCTGATTGAAAATATGATAATCTTTGAAATAAATAAAACATGGAAGTATATTATTAGAATATTGGTATTATAAAATTACTTTCTTCAAGTCTTTACAGAACTATCATCTATTCAATGAGGCCTACACTATCTGCTCTCCCCTTTACCTAACCCTGGTCTTCTTTTTGTTTCATCCCATTCATAGTACTTAACATCTTTGACCATACCATATACTTTACTTATGATATTTATTGTTTAATATCTATTTTCTATCACTAGAAGGCAGTATGGGAGCTCGCTTCCAGGATGGCCTCCTATGTCCATTTCTCTTAGTGTTTGTGTCTTGGTGTGTTAACCACTGGGAATCATGGATGACCTGTGTGAAAAATAGAATACTGTAGAAGTGGTTTTGTATGATTCTCAAAACTAGGTCATAAAAAATATTTCAGTTTCTATTTTGTCCTCTTTTGGATCATTTACCCTGGGTAGAGCCATCTGTCATATCATAAGGACACTCAAGTAGTCTTGTGGGAAGGGACATGTGAGAATGAACTGAGGCTCACTGCCAACAATGACAATTTGCTAGCCAAGGGAGTGATACACCTTGAAAATAAATTTGCCATCCCCAGTCATGCCTTCAGGTAACTATCTCTGTCCCCCATTTGACTACACCCTCATAAGAGACAGTTAGCCAAAATCACCCAGATGAGTTGCCCCTGACTACTTGAGTCTCAGAAACTATGAGGGAAAATAAATGCTTATTTTCTCTAGCCAGGAAATTATTATTTAAAAACAAAATAAATGTGATTATTAAATATTTTGTTGAAACCTCAGAAAGATATAAGGTTGTAACTAAGACAACTACTCAGTTAAACAATGGAGTTTTGTTTCTCATTGCCTCAACTTAGTCCAAAGGTAAAAAAACATCTTGAAGATGGCCTCTGAGTGTGCTTTTATCTAATTAAGCAAACCCCTAATATGATTCATAAGGGACCAAGGAAATTTTAAGAGAATTATATGAGCAGAAACACTGCTAGCTTGATTGGAAATGGATAGAAACAGAATAAAAAGAGGAAGTTGGATCCCCCATTTTACATACAGGAAACAAATTGATAAATTACTCAGCTGTAAATACAGGTTACATTTCCTGACAAAGAAAGAAGGACAGGAAGGGCCAGAACTAAGGGCCCAGCATGTATAGCAAAGAACCAAGACCTGGCTTTTAGTCTTAATGAAGGAACTAGCAAGATGTGCCTTGTGGGATTTCACATTTGCTGAGGACCAGTGACTCCTATAAACCTCCCATTGTCTCTCTTTCAATAGGAGGGTTTATAGTAACTATCCTTTGTCTATACCAAGCCAACTATTGAGCATTTACCATGTGTCATATATTATCATATTTAATCCTTATGGTCCATTGCTCCATACTAAAAAATGGAGGAAAATGGGACATAAAGAACTTTAAGAGATTGTACTAGTTATTGTTAGAGACAGAATTTGAACTAACACCATTAGACTCTGAAAACTATGTTCAATGAATATCATCAATTCACTACACCATACTGCCTTACATTTCAAGTCTAACATCCTGATTGCGGAAGAATGGTCTTTAGATGCAGTCAAACCAAGGAAGATTTCTGGGGCATTCATGCTGACTTATATTCCGAAGATATCACCATCTTTCGCATGTTCTGAAGGAGAAATTTTGACTTTTTTTAAAGTAGGCTCCACACCCATTGTGCGACCGAACACAGGACTTGAAATCAATACCCTGAGATCAAGACCTGAGCTGAGATCAAGAGTTGGACACAACTCTTGTGGACTCAACCAACTGGACTCAACCAACTGAGCTATCCAGGTGCCCCAAAATTGTGACTTTTACGTAGAATGCCTTTGTTGAAACCTCAGAAATATTTACCTGCTGATGCTTGCTAATATTTTATTAAAAATGCATATTTTAATATTACATATAGTTGATGACAAAAAATAATCTTCATGGGTGAGTTAACTATGAATTAATTTCTTATTTTATATATTTGTAATAAATTCCACAGAGGAAAAGGAAAACTGGGAGGCACATAGC